CTCATCCAAAAGAAGACAGATTATGCCCAAATGCATTGATGTAGGCACAGCTCATAAATATGAGTTTTAAAATTAAGTGTTTTCCCCAAATAGTCAGTTTTAAAATGTATTTGTCCATAAAGGTAGTTGATAAAATGTCAGCTATGTTGTTGGTGATGTTTTTGTAATTGCTGTATGCATTTGTACTATTTTTTGAGACAGTAGGATAATACAATTTAAAATATCAAATTGCTCTTTCGACACCACATTTAGGAATTTGTTCCCATTAGCTCAAAATATTATTTCTTAATGAGCCACTGTTAACAGACTGTTGCCATGTTTCTCAAAATTCAATTAATTTTGCCAACTGAACATTTCCAGTACAACCAGTCACTATTTTGAGTTGGAGGGGTCAAAAGTTTTAACAGTGTATATAGTCCAAATATAGACAGACAAACAACAAAATGGCCCTATAAATGTTATAAAGAAATACACACTCCTGTCAAAAAGCCCCTTATTGGTGTGTCAGTTTGCACATCCAGAGTGATTGTCCTCCTGTAGGCTGCAGTCACGTTCAGCGCTGAGAGCTCTGCACCACCATCAATCATGTTTTATGTCTTGATTGGGGCTTTTCCTCTGACCTCTGCTATACGACTTGAAGGATGTTACCAGCTTCAGGGTGCGTGGAGGTCTGACTCATCTCAGCCCTCTGTTTCAAAGTGCCTAAAGCTGAATTCACTAGCAGCTTTAGCCTTAGCATATATATGCTGGGCTATTTAAAGCCAGTGTAGCCACATCCATACCGAGACCATTCTCAGTGGTGAGGACCACATGGGAGATCTGCTTTAACAAGAGGGATCAAAATGCCCCATAGTGGTTGCGAGTTGTTTTTATCCAAATCTTGGAATCTGTGATGGCAGCCTATTAAATCAGCAAACCACCGAAGCCCAAAACGAGGAGAGAGCTACAGGGTAAAAAGAAGTGGTCTGGATAATGGGGATTTTAAGAAGATAAGATGGAAAGGAAAAGGGGATTTGGGCAACATGCTGGTTATAGTTGCCTTTAAAAAATGAATATTCTGTCATCATTTATTTGTCAAACAAGGACGCAGAGCTTCAGAAATGACTAAAATAGTGGCCCATTCCAACAGTGCATTTTTTTAACCCTGTTTCACACACCATAGGAACCCAATCTAAAACAGTGTAAACATTGTGATTGTGTTTTCTGAGATTTTTTAAAAGATGTCTTGCATTAAATTGTTTCCTATTAAGTGTCACTGCTGTCACTGCTATTCAATAGTTTGAGTCTGTTAATCTTTTTAATCATTTTGAACCTTGTAGAGACTATAAGTCCAAATCGGTTAGTTAATCTGATCTGAATGTGGGTGACAGTTTTATATGACCATTACCACTGTGTGTGGTGCCGCGGTGGGACTAAGAGATTGAGAAAATATTTTTAGATGTAACAACAGTTTGCAATAATGCTGCTGCAGGACACAAAAAGACAGGATGCAAAAAGACAGAAATAAAAATGCCTTGCTACTTTTAACTGAAGATGAAATAACGAAGCATTATAATTTCTTCATAAATCATTAATAACTTAAGCTTTCTTATCATTGTAAACTTGTTAAGTGCAACGAGGATTCAATTTGGAAATTAAAACAAAAGAAATAAAGGACAACTAAAATGAAAGTAAAAACAAACAAACCAAAAAGCCTTGTTTTAGCCTAAATATAGAGATGAACACTATTGTTATTTTAAAATCATAGAACTAAGAATCAAAGAGAAATGATTATTTTCTATAATTCTATTTTAGAAATAAAAACTTAAATACTAAATATTTAAAAACTATTTTAAAGTCTTATTTAACGGACACAAATAATAGATTCAGTTTAGATATGTGCTATTTACAGCCACAAGGCCTGCTATACTACAGTTGAAGTCAGAATTATTAGCCCCCTTAAATTATTACCCCCCATGTTTAGTCCCCCCCCCCAAATTCTGTTTAACAGAGAGCAGATTTTTTCAACATATTTCTAAACATAATAGATTTAATAACTAATAACATAACTAAATTTAATAACTAACATTTCTAATAACTGATTTATTTTATCTTTGCCATGATGACAGTAAATATTATTTGACTAGATATTTTTTCAAGACACTTCTATACAGCTTAGTGACATTTAAAGGCTTAACTAGGTTAATTAATTATGTTAACAGGTTAGGGTAATTAGGCAAGATACTGTGTAATGATGCTTTGTTCTATAAACTATCAAAATAAATAAATAAATAAATAAATAAATAAATAAATAAATAAATAAATAAGCTAAAGGGGCTAATAATTTTTTCCTTAAATGTTTTTTTTAACTGCTTTTATTCTAGCTTAAATAAAACAAATATGATTTTCTCTAGAAGAAGAAAAAATATTATCAGACATACTCTGAAAATTTTCTTGATCTGTTAAACATCATTTGGAAAATATTTTAAAAATAAAAGAAATTCAAAGGGGGGTGGGGCGGGGGGTAATTATTCTGGCTTCAACTAGCATTGTACAAATTTAAATATGATTAGATTCCTTCAGATTGGGACTGACAAACTAAAGTCAGATAAGTCAGATAAAGCCATATCTAACAAAAATACAAAAAATAATAATAATACTTTTGGAACTCAAAAATATTACATTTTGAAAGTTATTTGCTTTGCATCTGATATTTAAGAAGTATTACATTCCAAAGACAGATATATTTTACTTTACATTTTTGTTACATTGACAATGCTTTGAATAAAACCTTGACTCAGCTTTCTGACGTTGACATTCCAATCAAACAAAAAAGCACTGTATACCAAGGTGGAGGGTAAATAGCAATGCTCAGTCTTGGGCTGGGTTACATCTCAAAGAGGTCCTGTTAAAAGCAGTCTTTAATATTAAAGCTGAGATCAGATATATAGCTATTTTGGATTATGAAAGGCAAACTTCATTCCAATAGAGTGAAACACTACTGGCTCAATGAAGGCATCAGAAGGTTATCCAAGTCCATTCTTAAAGTTTTACACTATTCTAAACACTGCAATGCTCATGCTAGTTAACAACTGACAGCATGCTTTTTGGTCTGCCAGAGTCCACCTGCTCACATCAAATTTTAACATCAGAGCTGATGTCTTTGTACTAAGAATTCTCTTGCTGCACTGCTTGTGGACTGAATCAGCTTTTGCTTTATAATGTCCTCTGAAGTTGCTATTTGCCAAAATATCATAATGAATTGTGAATCCACCTCATATCCTAACTTACTTTAAAGGTGTCAACATGACTCCTGCTTTTCTATCATGAACGGCCAACCAGATTTGTTAACCGAAATTTCCAAAGATTTAGCAGTGATTTTTCACAATGTGTAAAAAAAAGGATGGAATCAAATATTCCAACATTAGCGCAACTTTTATGGTGTTTTGGCCTCCCTGTATTAGAAAGTGTTTAGTTTAAGTTGAAGAAACTTTGAAAGATACATTGTCACTGCACAAGAGAAATAAGCAAGTAATAAATTACTATCACTTCTACTAATAGGGGTGGCATGATGACTCAGTGGTTAGCACTGTCGCCATACAACAAAAAGATTGCTGGTTCGATTCTTGGCTGGGTCAGTTGGTATTTCTGTGTGAAGTTTGCATGTTCTCCCCGTGTTTGCATGGGTTTTTAAAGACCTGTGCTATAAGTGGATTAAATAAACTAAATCGGCCATAGTGTATGTGTGTGAATGTGAGAGTGTATAAGTGTTTCCCAGTTGCTTTAAGGGCATACGCTGTGCAAAACATATGCTGAATAAATTGTCGGTTCATTCTACTGTAGAGATCCTTGATGAATAAAGGGACTAAGCCGAGGGAAAATGAATAAATGAATGAATGAACTCACTACTAATAAATATGATACAGTAAATGTATTAATACACATTAACACAATGTTTCACCATTTTGACAGTACATTTTTTGTGAAACATGTTGCTAGCAAAAAAGGTACATTGAAAATGCCTTCATTTAATTACCACATAGGATTTCTAGGGCTATCACATAGTGCTACCTTTATTAATTTGAATGAATGAATAAATGTATAAATGAATGAATTCAATTGATCAAATAGTTTTTGATACATTTGAATAAAACGAAATATAAATAATGTCTTATGAATTCAAAAACTTGGTCACCAAAATGAAGAAACATAATAAGGGAAAAAAAGAGATATCATATTTAAGCCCATATGGAAAGATATTTAGCCCATCGTTTAGTCTATTTATTTACTTCTTTAAATGCATGTACATTTTTATTTGTTCAGTTTTTTACTTAATTTTAGTAAATTTTAGTAATAGTATTGACTAACATGAAAGTGTTCTTATGATTTATTTGCAATTTAGTTTGTAAAGTGTTATTTTCTGTTTTTTTCGTGGATATATTATATGACAGACTTGCTTTGTTTACCAAATAAGTGGATCTAATTGTATTTGCATTGTAAACATTGTTTTTTTATTACATAAATTAAGATTTTAGTTACAATACTCCCAAAATAATTCCACATAAATCCACAGATTTTTAAAAAAATTCTCCACAAAAATAGCAAAAAATGTCTGCATATTCTGTCTGGCCTATACATACGGCTCTACACTGTAAAAAAATGCTGGGTACATGTAATTCTTTCATGTTGTTCCTACACAAATCAATTAAGTTAACCTAACTGCTTTTACAAATTTAAGTGGATTGAATATAAATACAGCATGTCTTTGGATTGTGGGGGACACCGGAGCACCCAGAGGAAACCCACGCGAACGCAGGGTGAACATGCAAACTCTTCATAGAAACGCAAACTGACCCAGCTGAGGTTTGAACCAGCGACCTTTTTGATGTGAGGCGACAGCACTACCTACTGCGCCACTGCGTTGTCATTGTGTCGATTTAGCTAATTTTAAATAAGTAGTTCCAGCAAAATATTTTGATATTTCTAGTAGGTTCACCCTTGCCACCCATCATGTCACTCACCGTACTCGCTGTCATAGAAAACGATGAACTTGTGCCAGCGCAGTTCAGAGACGAGTGTGATCATGACATCATTGAGCCTCACAGGAGGCCGAGCAGCCAGCGTGTACCGTTCCCCGTCAGGACTGGGATTAAGCTGGCACTCAGCACGGGGCGTCCCATCACCGTTCCTCTGGATGAACAGATGAGGAATGTGCATGGCATCCGTGAGAGACTGTAGCGCATTGGCTGCTGCGCATCCTGTAGACGACACCAAAGCGAGTATCCCCTGATTCATGAGCTCACAGGCTGGAAAAGAACAGAAAAAAACAGAGGCACAGTGAGAATTAGAGGCTCTAAGTGTCATAGGCTCTACTTTACGAGAGTTAAGCACTTTGACCATTAATGGAACAACCAGTGGCAATTAATGCAGCAAATGTCAGGCTTATCCCGCAGAGAAAAGGTGTGGTAATGTGTCCAGATTTCACAGGGCAAATGCAATTCTCTTCAGTGTATTGCCATATGCTGCTAATTTATTGCCTCTGTTTAACGCCAGTGTAACAATTTCTCAAGGAAACCTAGTTAAAGTGGACATAAATAATTTATGAGATATGACATTTAATAGATGCTGCCATCTCAGAGCTGCAGGTTTGGATGTTTAAACATGCAGTTTGTTTTATACAATGATTAAAAGTGGATTTTAAAAAGGCTGTTTCTTGGTATGTATCTGACAATGTGCCTGTTTAAAAAGCCCATTGTGGATTGGAAGATGGTAGTATTATTGTCAGCTTTGCGTGGCTGCGCATTGTTTCCCATATGCAGCACAGTTACATTTATGCACAAATGCATCTTGGGAAGGAGGTGTAATATATGTCAAAGAGCATTTAAATTCATTCTTCATTTAGACACATTTATTCCCCATTCCTTTCCTGTATTTATACAAATCAAAAGCAGTTAGGCTACTTTGTCGTATTTATTTGCATTGCAATAAATATTTCATCACAGATCCCAAAAAGAGAGTAAATTAATTTTGTTGTTGACAAGTTTTATAACAGCGAGAGCTGGAAAAATCAATTATTAATAAAGCCAAAATCGCATTGAAAATACACTGAGCCTACTATACAGAAAGCAGCAAATAGAGGTGGAATTATACTCTGAGTTAAAAAAAAAACAATGAAACCCAGTAGTCTCTGTAACTTTCACACAATAACTGTTTGTCCATGTGTCCCTAGAGAAACTGTGTGCTCGATTCATTTCAGCAAACCCTGGCTGATCATGAAGTTTTAAAGCACAGTTCTTAAAGATGTAGGTGGATCAATGGATTGCAAATCCCAATGAAAATTAGAGGAAACACAATGACTTTTGTTTAGTTTTTTTTTTTTCAGCAAAGAAACTAATTACTTTTTTTTTCAAAGAAGCTGAGCAAATAGTTTTGCACAAAGCCACCAGAGAAACTGACTTTCTCAGTAAACATCCGAATAAAGACAATTTACATTGTTAATTGAATGGATCCACCTTAATTGAATACAAAATACCCTACAACGCAAACCCTAGGCTTTCCATAGGCTATTGAACACAATTCAAAATTCAGCTTTTAAACATTAGAGTTCTTCTGAAATTTTCTTGTTAACTATAAGCTTTCTGAATTTATTGAACGTGCATGAACAATTGAAAAAAAAAAACTCCAACAAACAGAAGCACTATGAGATTTACAATAATTCAAACAAGACATTAGCTAGCTAGACAGTCAAGCAAAATATGCTCAGAAAAAAACTTAAGTGTAATTAAATACTTTATATAGACAAACACACACACACAAATGCACGCACGCACGCACGCACGCACACACACACACACACACACACACACACACACACACACACACACACACACACACACACACACACACACACACACACACACACTGACATACCACAGCAAAAAGTAGCCATAAATCTAGTGACCATGTCAATTTAGCAGTCTGTTCTTAGTTGTTTCTATTTATTGTTGTAATAGTTTTAAATAGTCATTCAGGGGTCCGTTCTTCGTACGTGAATTATTCAGTTAGCTGGTTTTGGATGTTGAAGATTTGACACGATCCAGGATGGTTTCATTGTTTAAAACTCATTTGAGACTTGTTGTCATAGTAACAGTTCTGGTAGATCAAACCTGCGTGGGAACAGGTTCATTTCATATAAACAGGATTAGATTGGGTCAGTTCAAGCAAAGATAATACTGAAAGTATGCGCAAATGCTGATATTTTCTTACAGTAGGTACATACACTTGGGAAAATAATATATAAATATATATATATATATATATATATATATTAATAAAGGGACTAAGTCGACAAGAAAATAAATGAATACAGACATTTATTCGTCAGGTATGATAACCAAAATCTGATAGATATCACATTGGTATCGTCCACAGAACGTCAAGCTGTAACATCATCAGACGTTGATACTTTGTTGTTTTTATGTTACGTTGGAAAGTAACCAAAATGCAACGCCTGTCTGACACTGGACATGATGTCGGCCTGACGTTGGGTTCTGGCGTCAACCCGTTTGTCATTTCCAATTAAAATGCAATGTCCCATGACGTAGGGGCACAACGTCAATCTGACATCATGTTGAAGTACTGTGCCTGCTGGGTTTAATCCTTAAAAACTTACAAAATAAGAATTTTTATCTTGACTAAAGCATGCACTATATATTAGATACACACCAAATCTTCACACAGTTCAGTCATTAACTGGAGTTACTGTCAATTGTCACAATGTGCAGAGTGAGTCCTGCTTCATACACACACAAAAAATGATGATTTACATGCAGATTAAAATACAAATGCAATTCAGAAACTGCATTAACATGTTTATCTATTTATGAGGTCTTTAAAAAATAAGGTCACATCAGTTAATTAAATGAATTATTTAACAAAACTAACAATAAACAGAATAACCATGACAAAAATAACAACTAATGTACTTTTTTGTACTGTTAGTGTACTGAAAGTAGTCCACTTATTGAATAATATAAATAAACTATGTGTGTGCTTTTGGTGCATTTTTTGATCCAGGAAAAAAATTAACCTGATAAGAGAATAATCTACTGTTACAAACACCAAGAATAAACATACATACGTATATATCACATGTGTATATACACATCACAAACATAAACATCAGAAGAGTACGGCACAAATCTATTTTCAGTGGTAATGTAATGTTGACTCTCTTTATTAAAAACCGAACATGACTGCGCACACTGTACTTCAGCAAAACAATTATCAAAGTTGCCATGAAAAGGGTTACAAAATAATACTTAATGTGAAAAAGTAATATGACTAACAGATATAATCTCACAGATAAATGTGTGTGTTCATGAGATGGCAAGCTTTCTGATGAGCTTCTTATCGCTCTGTAACTATGCAAATAGTTCAATTTTATCTTCAGAACGTCTGTGTCTGTGTGTCCAACAGAGCATTGGAGGAATACAGCCTGATAGATAAACACATCTGCAGATTTACATCGCAGAACTACATTTCCTTGGATAAATCCAGCCAGAGAGAGAGAGAGAGGAAAAGATGAGAAGACTGATAGCAGTGGAATAAGTAAGAAAAAGCTTTGTCTAGAGAAATAAAAAACTTGGGCCTCCCATGTAATGTTGTCAAGCTGATAGACAATGCAGAAACTGTCGCAACTACATCAATCAAGCAGACACCGAGCCCAAACTTCTGAGAGAAATGTCCACAACCTGCAGGGCACAGCAAAACACGCCACAGGAAACCTATAAGTCATACGGGAACGGCCATTAAAGCATCTGATGTGGAAATTCGCACTGGCAGGCGCTGTTCGTTGGTCCATGAATGCTACATCTATACATTTTTACACATCATGGCGATGACAACTGCAAAAACAAAGAGGTAGCTCAGATGAAAATGAAATGTCAACGTTTTTTTCACCTGAATGCAATTCCAAACCTGTGTGACTTTCTATGTTTTGGAAAGCTGAACTGAAGATACTGTAAATGCTTCAACTGTTACATTTACACATATGAAAATGAATAAATGTAAAAAAATAAAAATAAACAAATGTTATGTGTAATAACAATGGAATGACACAAGGAAGTACTGAACTATGTATCAAATATTGAGCATAAAAGGCTTTTTTGGTAATGACAGCTTCAACATCCCTCCTGTGTGGAGAATGGAGTCGCATGCATTGCTCATGTGCGATTTGTTTCTCATACTCGTCATTTAACAGTCTTTAAATCTGATGGTTTTGTGTGACTCTTTTCTATAATTTTGTGATTCTATTTTCCATCGGATTCAGGTTAGGTGATTGGCTGGGCCATTCTAGCTTTTCTCTTTTTCGTTTTGAAAACAATTGTGTTAGATAACTGTGTGGGATCATGGTCTTGCTGAAATGTTCACCCAGCTTTCATCTTCATCATCTGTTTATGTAGGAGTTGAAACTGAAGCAGCTAATATTTGTTTACACTGACGAAGGGCAGAGTTGCTTTCTCACTGCATTGAATTCAGCTGCAGTCTGACCTTTCCATGCCTTTTCACACCTACCTTTCTTTGTGTGTTCAATACTTGTTTCATGTGTCATATCATGTTATTACACAACTTAATTTCTAAACTTTGGTTGTTAGTGAGATCTTGTGAACATTTTGAGTCAACAACACCTTTAGAAATATGCTTTCTGAGAAAAATCGTGACATTTTCAAAACTTATATTTTAACTGTGAGGCTTGATAAAATAAATCTTTAAAATGCATTTAATGGTAAGAAAAATACAATTCTAAAATAAATCCTAAAATAGAAAACTGATGGAGACAATAGCAATAGCTATATAGTCAGAATTATTAGCCTCCCTTTGATTTTTTTTCTATTTTAATTATTTCCCAAATTATGTTTATCAGAGCAAGGGACTTAAAAAAACAAATCTTCAGGAAAGTCTTTTTTGTTTAATTTCGGCTAGAATAAAAGTTGCAATTTTTTTAAGCCATTTTAAGGTCGAAATTATTAGCCCCATTTAGACTATATTTTTCGATTGTCTACAGAACAAACCACTGTTATACTATGATTTGCCTAATTACACTAACCTGCCTAATTAACCTAATTGACCTAGTTGTGCCTTTAAAATTTCCCTTTAGGCTGAGTACTAGTGTCTTGAAAAATATCTGGTAACATATTATGTTCTGTCACCATGGCAAAGGAAAAAAACTGAGTAATTAGAAATGAGTTATGTGGTTGAAAAAAATCTCTCTGTTAAACAGAAATTGGGGGAAAAATTAAACCCT